CTTTTTCAGCATTAATAACATTTTCTTAATTTGAGATTTTTTAAAAATTGAATTCAATTTCCACCCTCTGCTATGGCAGACCTGAGTCCCTGGAACATTAGCTCAGTTTCTGGGTTAATACTCTAGCAGTAATACCACTAGACCATAGCCTTTCCTGGCATACATGCAGGGTGTTTCTACATATGCTTTAATGACCATGTCTGAGAGTCAAGGAGGAGCAGTCCTTCGTGGGGTCAAAGATGACTATGAACAATCGGGGAACTCTGTCACTGTCAGTCAAAGGGGTTGTTCGATTCGATCCAGGAGGTTAGCCACGGAGAGTCAGGCACTTATGAGAGTATTTGTCTTTGTAGTCTGAGGATTGGAACACAATCTCTCCTGCAGGTCACATGTGATCTGCCTGGAGATTAAAGATATGTCAGTCATAGTGCAGTAGTAATACTAGTCCAGGGCCTGGTGTGTCCTCAGCCAGAACTGTACTGCCAGGTCAGGGTCAGGGGTGATGTTGTCAGTCCTAGGGATTTAGAGGTTATCAAGGGGCTGTCAATGCAGTTCATAAGAAAGTGGGTCATTAAGTCTGGGATGGCCTTTGTTGGTCTAGGTCACTGAGGGAATGATTACAATAAAATGGAACATTTTGAGATAGAGGAATGGGATCCCCTAGAACATCAGAGGGAACAGGACACTGAGTTTTGGGGATTATTTTCCCAAGTGGCAATCATTCCACACTCTACAAGTGGAGAGTGTATGGTCAACAAGGGCAGGGCAGTCTCAAAGCTGTGGGCAGAGGGGTAAATTGGGGATATAACAGTTATATGATGGGGTAAACAGAAACAGGAGGCTGAAAGGTCATCCAGGGCATGGATAGCAACATAAAACGTAACATAGAATGTGTATCACCCTACATCTTACGCAGATCTTGCAACTCCAACAAGTCAACTGGATGGTAACAAATATAAAATAGTTATGACTATATGCAGAATGGTCTAAGTTGCTGTGAATTTTTTTCTTCAAGGGAAGATAATATTGTTTAAACTTGAAGCTCTGCAAGTGGCAGTTGCATTAAACATACATCCACTGCTACAATAATGCCACTTACGTGACATCAAGCAGCACTTAACAGCGGATCATTTATTGTCCAAGAGTGAACATTGGTTGTGATTGCGTGAGGCCATAATTTGCATTATATTGTTTGTACCAATTGTCTCATTGTCATGTTGACAAGCAAATGTAATCAGACTCTGGCTGAAAAATATTACCTAGACTTGGCATTTCTGAAACAGATTTTGTAACTAGCACTGGAAGTCAACATTCAAGCTTTGATGTTTGCACACTGACTGGCAAGTATGCAAGGATACGGTCTGCGATGTTCAGTGATGACTTTGTGACAGAGGGACTATCATGGTGGCTTACTGCCAGAATTTCACTCCCCGAATTTAGCATGAATATATTGCCTGCTCAATGTACATTTGAGTAATATTACATAACTCAAAGCTCTTTATCGTAGCATGACATTGACCTCCGTGTGAAGCCTCTGACACAGTTACAGTATAAAATGATGCTTCATTGAATAGGTATGATGGCTTAAGCGTACTGCTAGTAAAATGTGTTATCTTTGTGATATTCCCCATAGAGTATATGCTCACAAACTTGACATGGACATCACTGTGGCTAGAGTCCTTAATGCATTGCTCAAAATACAAAGACAGTGTTGAAGGAGAGAGCAATATGGACTTGTCAGTAAGACCAGCGCCCTCCAGTGGCTGCTGCACAGCCTCCAGATGGACAGCATGACGTGACACTGCAGCTACGGGCCTCACTGTCATTTTCTATCGTTCTTGGAAACCCAGTGAAAATGCAGCATAATGATGTCCCAGGCCGCCACCACTGAACTGTCATGTAGTGGGGCAGGACTTGCACTCAGAAGGACTGAGTGGCTATCAAGGTCACATCTGCCTTGTATTTTTGTGCCTGTGGCTCGTTTTGAGGAAAGCCGAGGCCCTGTGTGGCATCTTCCAATCCTTGAACCACAAAGGTCTCTGGGATGTCATGGATATTTTCTCCAAATTCTGTGATGAGAGTCAAGCAGCTTGGGCAGTAGGATTCTCAACCATTGCTGACATCCTCCTGGTGCAGGGGATACAGGTCCCACTCACATTGCTTTGAAAGTGCCCAACACCAACCTGCAAAGTTCATCAACAGAAGAGGCTTCCATTCCATCAATGTTCAACTTATTTGATGCCAGATTTTGTGGTACAAATCTTGGGAGTTGCCATAATGCATATGTACTAGAGAACTCCCGGATTCCTGTTTTCAGGTCTGCTGGAAGTGTCCTACCCAGGTGCAAGCTCACTCTTTCAGATTGGACTTATGTCTGTCCTAAATGGAACTTATGAAGGCTTTGGCATCACAGGCAGGAATAAATGGAGGGGCTGGCCTCCTCTGTAGTGTCCTGAGAGGAAGTTTATGGCTGTCCAATATGTGTTGCTCCCTCTTCCTGTGGGTGCTTAGTGGCCCCACCTTGTCTTCCTGAGAGAACGAGATACCTGAAATGAGATTGAGCTGCCAGCCCCCCTAGCCTTGTTTTCGATGCTGAATACCTACGGCAAATGCAAGGAGCACAAGTCTGTGTTATCTGGCAGCCAGTGTGTGCTGGACCTGGCTCTCCATGTTGATTGCCAATCTTTTTATGGAGACAGCCCATGTGCCTGCTTCCTAGACTCTGTATTAAGAGTTTTGTTTGTGAATAAGAACCTGTATTAACTTATGGAAGGAGACTACAGTCTCAGTCAAGAGGGGTGAGAACTTGAGATACGGCGGTTCAGTGGTTAGCACTGCTGCATCTCAGCGCCAGGGACCCGGGTTCGATTCCAACCTCGGGTGACTGTCTGTCTGTGTGGAGTTTGCACATTCTCCCCGTGTCTTCGTGGGTCTCCTCCAGGTGCTCCGGTTTCCTCCCACAGTCCAAAAATGTGCAGGCTAGGTGGATTGGCTATGCTAAATTGCCCATAGTGCCCAGGGATGTTTAGGTTAAGTGGGTTAGACATAGAAAATACAGGGGTAGGGGAATGGGTCTGGGTGGGATGCTCTTCAGAGGGGCGGTGTGGACTTGTTGGGTCGAATGGTCTGTTTCCACACTGTAGGGATTCTATGATGGTTGGAATGAAGGTAGATTGAAGATATTCTGATAGTCGTTCCAAGTTTGTTTAACTCTTGCAAGTTTGCTATGTTTTTTAAATATTATAACTTTTTTAGTATGGTTAATTATGGCACAGGCAAATGTGACTTCAAAAAATAACACATTAGTGACACATCCTTCCAGAAAAGTGGATAATTAGGGAGTAAATTGCATTGCCTGGAAATATGATGGAGACAGGTACAATTAAGGCATTCAGGAGGGCATTGGATGATTATTTGGATAGAAATAGTAGGCAAGGTTGTGGGGAAATGGACCCTATTGACACTCTGTATTGATGCTCTTTTTTTCCGAAGAGCTGGTGCAGGCATGATGGGCCAAATGGCCGCTTATGCCACAACGATTCAGTGACCGTTAGTCTGCCATCTCGCAGAATGTTGTTATTTTGACAAAATATAATTTGTCACAATTCTGGAGACCAAATCTTAAATTCCATGTGAATATGTTTAGCCTTCCTGATCTTAATTTTTGAAAGATACCCTTGATTGAAATTTGTTTTTTTACACCTTCACTGCTTCATAGAGCAGTTATGTACTTAAGTTATAATTGCTTATATTGTGGCTGGATTTATGGTCAGAAATCTTAGTGGAGTTCTTATATGCATTTAATTAACAGCTCCACTTCAGCCACAAGTCTTTATTCTTAAACTGTTTGGCAACAATATACCATTGTAAAATAGATGAAAGCATTCAGTATCTGAATGCAAGTTTTGCTAAAATGTGGTCAGGATATGTTGTTAGAATGTTCAGTATAATTCCAACTGTAAATTTGAGGTCAATACTTGGAAGCAAATGTGAGTATGGTAGTGGATGTGAGATTTTCATTCGTTCAGATGATTTGTTCCAGAATTCAACATGTCAGCACCTTTTCATTATCTAATATTCATTGCTGTTCGGATGATTTTGTGCAGTATCGATTGTTTAGAAAACCAGTTTGCTTGTCAAATGCATGTTAATGAAAATGAAAAGCCATTCTTTGGAATTCTCATTGTTTTAATTCCCTGGCTTCATTTACATCAAGTCAGTCAATTCACCAAGAAAAGTAGGGAGAAAACAGTTGCTGGTCATTGCTGGTGAATGGAAGTGGAAAATGGAAGGTCGAAGGCTAGCAGTTATAGACTGGAATTGATGGAGGGCTTCTCAACAAGGGCGGTTAAGCTGCAAGGTGGGGAGTTTCCAAGGATTTAGCAAGAGGTGAAGCGTGCACGAGGGCAGAAGTGTTTGTTTCTGAGGTAGTGGAAGGAAGAACTTGCTTTATGATAGCTAAATATGCAGATGGGAGCCTTACATCTCTTGGTCTGCAGTAGAAAGACTGTCGCTCATCATAGAGTCTCCTTTTGACTGTCAGCCTTATCTTATCTGCCAGAAAAGACAAAAGCTCAAGTGTGACTTAAAATATAATTGGAGTCCCATTGACATAATGGGATTGCTCTTTATAATCATTTAAAATGGTGGCCAGTGAGTTTCCAATAAGAACAAATAGGTAGGAAGCTTAATTTTACAAGCCCCCTTATTCAGAATCATAGAATCCCTGCAGTGTGGAAGCGGGGCATTCGGCCCATCAAGTCCACACTGCCCTCCAAACAGTCTTCCACCCAGACTCGCTCCCCTACCCTATCCCTGTAACCTTGCATTTCCCATGGCCAATCCACCTAACCTGCACATCTTTGGACTTTTTATACACTGCAACATTAGTTAAATTGCCACCTTGTCATATTGGATAAGCCTAGCCCACTGATGATAGGCCTGCCAGAATAGTAAGCAAAAGTAACATTATTCTAAAATAAATTCAATGCTTTTTACAGGTCTGATCATGACTACATCAAGGAAACTGGATCGAGAACAGCAAGCAGAACATGTTCTGGAGGTGAGTCCAAAACCTTTAACATTTGTTTTTCATACAATTTGGAATTTGCATGAGGTGACACTGTTTCTTTTTAGTGCAAGTTGCTCAATATGAGGGAAATCCATGCAAAAGTTTCAGGAATTTTAAGTATAAGTTACATTCAGATGAGTGCTCATGATCTCTTAGTTTTAAAAATATCAAGCTAGATTCCAAGAATCCAGCCCTTTCCAAAAACCTAGTAACACCCTCATGCACCACCAGTGTTTAATCAAAACTGCGCGCACATGCCACCACTCCCATATTTGTGCCAATCGTGGCATTGATGTCAGATTTCTGAAGTTGCTGCTTTGGAGGTTCACAAAACTGATAAGAAAGTTAGAGGGAATGTTATGCAGCACTGATCAAATCAATCACGTTGTGAGTTTCTGCTAATTACATTTGTTTAAATGCTTTTGAGGAGGCTTTTGAAATTATACTAGGGTGCAAGGATATTACTACGATTATTTTAAAAGCTTTTTTATTTGTCTTCTTATTTAGAAACTGTTTACAATGTTGAAATGCAACTAGGAAACGATTCAGCAATTCTTTTAAGTGGTTTTCAATTACTTTTAAAACTTGGTTACTCAGAGTTGGTAAACTTTGCACTGATTATAATTTGTATGTTTGTGATAACTATTTTTCAACAATCAAACAGCATAGTTTCCACTCTAATAATCAATTAATATTTTAAAAATTTTTTTTTTTTTAAAAAAGTGTTCTGGAATGCTGTCCAGTTGCAGTGTTTCTTAGGATATCATACCTCGAGCAGTATGTAGTAGTGAAAAAAGATACATTTTTGAAATTGTCTTGCACCCATCAGGACAATTTGCAAGAATACTATTTCAAGGGGGAAACCAGCACTCCTGATGCATGAGAGGGTAGTGCTGATTGTTTTGCAAGTAGACTCTGGTGAACAGCATTGCCATGAGAAATCCACCAATTCATGATTTACAGTTAACTGCTTGGCTTTCTATAAATGTTAAACCAGACAGGTAACTCTGATTTGGTCAGAGCTTGCCCTGAGAAATGAGCCAATAAATGGTTGTCCCCTATTTTGTGCAAAGCTTCCAGTACATACAAGGCACCATCATGATATATTTCATGGTTTCAAGATTTTTATTTTCTAATCAAACAATATTATTTCTAACTCATAGTCATTGAGTCATGCTGCACAGAACAGACCCTTTTGTCCATGTCGTCCAGGTTTCCCAAAGTAAACTAGCCCCATTTGCCTGTGTTTGGCCCATATCAATCTAAACCATTTCTGTTCAAATACCTTCCAAATGTCATTTTTTATTGTACCCACCTCTACCACTTCCTCTGGCAGCTCATTCCATATATGCAACGTCCTCTGTGTGGAAAAAGTTGCCCCACAGGTCCCTTCTAAATTTTTCCCTTTTCACCATAAAGCTATGCCACCTAGTTTTGGACTCCCTTACCCTTGATAAAAGACCCTGGTTATTCACCTTATCTATGCCCCTCATCACCTTATAAACCTCTATGAGGTCACCCTCAGCCTCCAACACTCCAGTTTAAAAAGAAGTTCCAGATTATCCTGCTTCCCCTTACAGAAACATAGAAATATTGAAAATAGGTGCTGTAATAGGCTATTCAGTCCTTTGATCCTGCTCCACATTCAATATGATCATAGCAAATCATGCAATTTCAGTATCCCACTTCTGCTTTCTCCCCATACCCCTTGAGTTTTTTAGCCACAATAGCCACATCCAGCTCCTTTTGTTTGAATATTTCTAATGAACAGGCCCCAACAGCTTTCTGCAGTAGAGAATTCCACAGGTTCACAACTCTGAGTGAAGAAATTCTTCCTCATCTCGGTCCTTACCTCTCATCTTTAGACTGTGACCCCTAGTTCTGGAATTCCCCAACATCTGGAACATTCTTCCTGCATCTAGCCCATCAGGATTTTATATGGTTCTATAAGATCCTGCCTTATCTAAATTTCAATGAGTACAAGTCCATTCGATCCAGTCTTTCTTTATATTCAGTCTTGCCATCCTGGGAATCAGTCTGGTGAACCTTCTCTGGACTCCCTCAACAGCAAGAGGGTCCTTCCTCCTAGGACTAGGAGACCAAAACTGCACACAATACTCCGGGTGTGGCCTCACCAAGGCCCTGTATAACTGCAGCAATATATTCCCTACTCCTGTACTCAAATCCTCTCGCTATGAAGGCCAGCCTGTCATCACTGACTGCTGCACCTAGATGCATACCTTCAGCAACTGTTCCACCATGACACCCAGGTCTCGCTGCATTCCACCTTTTTCTAAACTGCAACCATTATAACTCAATCCCTCCAGTCCTGGCAACACCCTTGTAATTTTTTTCCGTTCCCTTTCTAGTATAATGATCTTCCTGTAGTAGGGCGACCAGAATTGTACACCGTTTTCTAAAGGTGGCCTCACTAGTGTCTTGTACAGCCACAACAGGGCATTCCAACTCCTGTTCTTAATGCTCTGACTGATGAAGGCAAGCAAGCCAGAAGCTGCCTTCACCACTCTGTCTACTTATGATACCACTTTCAAGGGACTACATACTTGCACCCCTAGGTGTCTCTGTTAGACAGCAATCCCCAGTGCCCTACTATTAACTGTACGAGTCCTGTCCTGGTTTGACTTAGCAAAATATAATACCTCACATTTCTCTAAACTCCATCTGTCATTCTTCAGCCCACTGGCCCAGTTGATCAAGATCTGCTGTACTCTTAGATAACCCTCTTCATTGTTTACTACACCATCAATTTTGGTGTTATTTGCAAACGTACTAACCATACCTCCTGTATTGTCATCCAAGTCGTTTATGTAAATGATGAACAACAGTGGACTCAGAACCAATCCTTGCGGCACACCGCTGGTCACAGGCCTCCAGTCCGAATAACAACCCTCTAACACCATCCTCTGCCTTTTACCATCAAACCAATTTTGTATCTAATTTACTATCTCTCCCTGAATCCAATGTGATCTCACCTTACTAACCAGTTTACCATGTGGGACCTTATTGAAGACCTTGCTGCCGTCCATGTAGACGATGTCTGCTGTTCAGCCTTCATCTAACTTCTTGGTAAGCTTTTCAAAAAACTCAATCAAATTTGTGAGGCATGATTTTCCAAACACAAACCCATGCTGACTATCCCAAACATGTCCTTGCCTCTCCAAATGTATGTAAATCCTATCTCTCAGAAACCCCTCCAATACCTTACCCACCACTGGTGTCAGACTCACCAGTCTGTAGTTCCCTGGCTTTTCCTTTGCTGCATTTCTTAAACAATGGCATCGCATTAGTCACCCTCCAGTTTTCTGGCACCTCACCCGTGGCTGTCGATGATACAGATATCCGCGCAAGGGGCCCCCCAATCTCTTCCCTAGCTTCCCACAATGTTCTGGGACACACCTAATCAGGTTCTAGGGATTTATCAATGTTTGAATTTTAAGACATCCAGCACCTCCCCTTTTAATGTGGACTCTTTTCAGGACATCATCCTTTATTTCCCCAATTTCCCTAGCATCCATGTTTTTCTCCACAGTACTGACGCGAAATATTTGTTTAGTATCTCACTGATCTCCTATGATTCCACACATAGACAGCCTTGTTGATCTTTCACTGGCTCACCCAGCATTTATTGCCAATCCCTAATTACCCAAAGGTTGGTTAAGTGTCAGTCACATTGTAGGTCTGGAGTCACATACAGCCCAGACCAGGTCAGACAGAAGGTTTCCTTCACTAAAGAACATCAATAAATCGGATGACTTTTTCAACGGTTGGCAACTATTTCATGGTCATTGTGAGAGTCCTAATTCCCCAATTTTTTTCTCTTAATTTATTTGACATCAGCCACAGTGGAATTCAAATCCATGTCCTTGGAACATGACCTGGGTCTCTGAATTAATTGTCTAGTGATTATACAACTGTGCCATTACCTCTCTGCAGGTAGTGATGTACCCATGCATTTTGCTAAGTGGTAAAGATTTTGGGTTTGGAAGGTGATATTGATGAGTCTTTGTAAGTTGCTGCAGTGTATACTGCAGCCACGCTATGTTGGTGGTGAAGTGGGTGCTACTTGGGTGCCAATCAAGTGGGCTGCCTTGCCCTGGATACTATTATTGGAGCTACGCTCATACAGTCAACTGGAGAATATCCTATCACACTCCTGACTTATGCCTTGAAGATAGTAGATAAGCAGTGGGGAGACAAGTGGTGAGCTGTGCCACAGAATTCCTAACCTCTGAGCTGCTGTTTCAGCCAAAGTAGTTATATTGCTGGTCAAGTTCAGTTTCTCATTGATAGTAACCTCCACTTTTTAGGCCCCAATCATGCAAATGCTCTCCCCACCATTCTCATAGTCCTTCACTCTCTTCATTTGAATTTAATACAAACTCATGCCTGCCATCCATGCCAGTTGTCCCTCATAGTTTCCATGTCAAGCCACCCAGTTTCTGCCATGGGCACACCTGAGTAGCTAGGTTGAGAGGAAGCAGAGTTTTATATATCTATTGTAGCCTTTAGTGTTGTAAAAACTGTGCTCCTGTTCATGAAACCCTATTCAAAATATTTAGACACCCTCAGATACTCCGTCCATTGTGAAAATAAGCCATTTCCTTTAAAACCTCACATTAAAGAGAGCTAGTCCTTTTCTGATAGCTCAGAGACAATTAGTGAGCTTGCAAATCTTACTGAGATAATTGTTTGTGGAAATCAGTTAAACCTTAATACTGACGCCGTGAACTGGATGCTACATTCCTTTGCTGGATGGCTTTTTGGCATCCGTAAAATGAAATAGGCCAAATAACTCCCCCACCAGAATCCCACCCATCTCCAAACACACCCACTTCATGTGGAGGGTGGGAGACATCAAAATCAGCAGTTCATCCACCACAAGTACAAGCCCATCCACCACCTCAACGTTGTGTTCCTCCTGGCTTATAAGCAGAAGCTGAAACGGGAGGATCCTTCACAAAAAAAGAATA